GCTGAAAGTTGAAAGTTGAAACTTAACGTGATGACAAAAACAGCAATGAAGAAAATTTCACTGGAAGAGATAATAAAGAGAAAACTTTTCGTTTTTTAACCAAACCTGGAAAGCTGATCTTCTTGAGTTCATCACATTAATGTTGCTCTGACTGCCAGCGAGAATATCATTACGAAAGCGAGGGACAACCCGGCGTGCAAATGATATCTAAAAGTTTTCATAAAAACTTGTGAAGGAGTGCGTGACAGTAAATCATATAAAAAAGGAATTTCACGATCACCTGCTGACGAGCTTTTTTAGGGAAATGGAATTCTGTTCCGATCTGACTTCTGAAGCTACTGTCTGTTTTCAAATTAGCAACGCGGCCTGCCTGCTCATTGTATGAAATCAAAACAGATCGATTCTGCATGCCTGATTCGTGAGACAAAATTAACGGAATGAAAAGGCTGTTTTCAGATGACATCGACACCGGGAGTGGGAACAGCGGTGCGGTTGATTCCATTGCAGCATTTCTATTTAATCGAAGCCGATCAGCCGTCGAAAAACCCATCTTAAAATATGTTCTTCAAATAAATATCAACAAATGAATGCTTTTTTGTTCATCAGAATAATATGTAAAAGTAACACAATTTAAAAGGAAAATAGAAATATTTCCGTGGTAATATATGCATAACAAAAGTTCAAACTAGAGAAAATACGAAACATTAAAGACTGGATATAATGTTGAAGTTTAAAGCAAGTTTGGCCAATAGTTGACAGCAAACAGCTCAAGTCTCTCAACTTTGGTAATTTCAATAATATATCACCCATCAAATAAAAACATACAAGAAAATATGCATTAAGAAAATGGTCTATTCGTAAGTTCATGCATTACTTACGAGTTGAAAACAATTTAGCATAAGTAAACCTTTTCTACGATAAACTGAAAATGTGCAAACAGCGGCTAAAATGTTAAATGGAAGATAGAAGCTGTTAAAGAACTTGAGAAATTAATCTACCAGCGAATTAAAAGCTGTGTGAGCTTTGCTACAAAAGGTGTGTAGAGTGTTGAGCGTGCCACACGTATAATGATAATGTTGTTGTTGTTCATTGGGAAGGACCGAATGCGATCCAAGATTTGGTATAGCATTCCACGAAAATGGCGAGGGATTTAGCGATGAAATACGCGGTTCTAGTACACTGCTGGTCATGATACGATCTGGATCGGTTGTCATCATGCTGTTACCCTACAAACGACTTATTGTGAGCATATATACCAAAATACTTTAATTTGTCGTGCATAAAACAAATGCCTACCAACGAAGTTTACTAATGATAGTTTTCTGTATGATTGCTTGAAATACCTACACTATCAGCCTTCAAACCCATGACTGGTCGCAGTGCGTCCAAATAATGTCTGTCGCTCCGTTGATCACTGCTTTAAAGAACACAGTGAATGTTAATGAATGGATACTACTAAAACACAAAAGAAAATTAAGGAATTATTCTCGTAAAATAAAGCCAATTAATGGGAGTGCTTACCCAGAAGACATGAGTGATAGCGGAATGCAACCAGGACTAACCAGTGGTGAACCTGGAATCACATCTATTTCTGGCCTCAGTGATATCGGGTGATGAATTGCCTAAAGAATATCAAAATGAAAGTTTTATGATCATCATTTCAGACCTACTAGAGGTAATTTCTGGAAATACTAGTTCGAGTTTCAAATACAACCGCAAGAATACAGCCCTTTCGAGCTCTATGGATTCACATCGTTCCAAAATTTTGACGGAAAGTCTTGTGAACAGAATTTCTCTACCTAAAGAGTACACATCGATTCCCCTTTTTGTGAGGGAAAAAACAACAGAGCGGCTCATGATAGTTTTATAAAATTTACAGCCACATTCGTTTACTAAAAGCTAACATGTGTGGTTGGACTGAACAATGGAAGAGACTTCCCATCGATACACTCTGACGCCATCTGATCCGAAATATCGAGATCACTCATGGGATTACCTTAAAATTGTCTAATTTTAAAATAATGCGGACCAAGAACCTCCGAAGTGGTAACAAAGACTTGGATTCCACGAGGATAACTTCACTCAACGAACTGCCACTTCTAGGAATTAATATCGATTTGCTAAGAGAAGACACATGTATCGTGTAGCGAGAAAATGATGCAAAAAAGATGAAAAGCTTTGTTTATTAAACTAACTGTGTTCTTCCCATTTCCCATCCTTATTTTTTAAGCTTTGATCTCTTTTCTCTTTGTTCTGGTGGAATGTTTATGAAAATTTATAGCACAAAATGTTCTCTTCACCTTTGTTCTCAGAATTGCACCTAATGTGTCAACAATAGCGGAGCCTTTTTAACTCTGTATGCGCTACTGTGATTGGACATACAGATTATTGTCATCGAGAAAAAGTGTCAGTCTTAAATCTTACTAAAATGTAGGAAAATTCTCACAATACGTACGTATTTCTGTTTCCAATCTGATGCCATTTGTTGTTTTCTTTCTCTCACGACTACACCATTTCCAATCGGGATGAGCACGAAAATGTGCTTCCTTCACCTAGAAACTAAAACTTCTCAAGGGGAAAGAAGAGAACCTAAAATAACGGATTTGAGAGATGATATAACGCTAACCTGAGTGGCAAGATCATGATATTTCTGCTTCTCCTCGGGACCCAGTGCGTACCACCACTCGCCAAGAATTTTTGAAACTGTTCGATTGTCACGATTCGGATACTTTTCATGCACTAATGGTCGATGTCGTTTTGAGAAAATCATGAAAGCATTCATCGGCCGTCGTATATGCTGCCGAACCTGATAACTTCTTTATCATAACTCCTTGAGACTAGTTGAAATTACGCATAAATATATTCAAAACGTCGATCTACTGACGCAGATAATCTATAAGCTCATAACAGATACAGCTATAAGATGTAAATTCCATAATGAAGATGAACATTTTAAATAGCAGAAGCTCAATATCTTCATTGAAGCCTACAGCTTTTTTGTCGCCAATATCTGGACTGAGAACTGTATGTAGTTTACGTCTTTTTGATGATGCTGACACTGATTCATCAACTGTATTCAATTCAAACGATTCCTCATCTTCAAATTCGAAGTTAAAGTGATCTACAATTAATACTAAATACCACAAGTAACAAAATCACATAAAAGATTAAATTTGAAATTTATGTAGTATGAAATGACATTTCAAATCTATGTAGTCGGAATCGCTTTTTTCATGACGCATTCGAAAAAATTCCTGAACTGACATAAAACAATCGACAGACAAAAAGAATCCATAATCTGGAGTAATTAACCAACCAAGCAAAATGTTCTTCGAAGTCTCCGATTCATAATACGCTGTAATCTGAGCATCTGCACTCTCGTCTGTCTTTTCAAATCCATAGCCTCTAAAAAATTTCAAACTTAGAAAATTGTATCCGGTTGGTCCTTTGATTTTCTCTTACTTGTTGTAGCACTGGCTAACACCGTGTTGCTGTTTCCGCAAGAAGTGTTCCCGCTGAACAGTTCCATTTTCCAATGTACTATTCTCAGTGCTCTCTCTTCCGTTTTCATCGTCGTCGATCACTCTATGATTCTGCATTTTATCAGTGCAATCAGCAGCATTATCACATCTGTCACCTTCGGCTTCAAACTGGTCCGTACCTTGATCTTCATCGAGCGTCTTCCTAGCACCGCTAGTTTGTTGGTCATCACTGAATTCTTTTGGTCCTGAACAGTACTGTTATTCATTGCATTACCAAAAATATTTTGTACAAACATCGAGAGGTAAGTACTGAAGGATGCATGAAAGCAAACCGTATCTTGCGTTGAGTCATCAGGTGTTGATGTAAATTCTTTCAGCGAACTTTCGAACACCCGTTTCTGTAAATGAGGCACCAAATGATGCCATGGAATCGATGATGAAAATCTTTCGCCTGCAAAGCGCTTCCAATTTCCTATCATACAATCTCGAAGAAACGCAAAAAAAAGAATTTGCAAAGTTAGTGAAATTTTCGTATTTTACTTACGCAAAATTACTGGGACTAAATCTAAAAATCTCTAAATTCAGAGACCGTTTATGAAGAAATGTTTGAAAAAAAGAAAGTCTTTTCCTATTCTTTCGCAGTAATGAATATACAATTACTTTGCGTCCTAATTCTGACCAGCTACCGTGTTCAATGCAAAGTTTAAAATAAAAGGATGTGATGAATACTCTCCACAAGGGAAATTAGGCAAGCTTAGCTCAAAGTTGTTGTCCTATCCAAACATGACGAATTTGAAAACTTAGTAGCCACTGGCACTTTTACACAAAGCACTTCTTAGCCAAGCACTACAACTACCTGTCTTATTCGTTTTCTTTGCTGGTATGCATTTTCTTAAGCATAGTGTAATCGTTGTATTCAATGAAATTAATTTCTTTCAAAATTATTGCCCCCACTCAGTGTTTAATTCACCAATAATAAAAGCTAATGATCAACAATCGACTCTTTCCTCCACTGTTAAATGAAATTTAGAAAAATCATATCTGTAAAAAGTTGTTTTTCTCTGACCATCGTTCTCAGTTGTGTCTACATCTGAAGTCTCACTTTATAGGAAAAATGGAATACTTAGTTTTGATCTTCCAATGAGGAAAGTTAAGCGGTGAAGGAAATTGCTCCTAAATAACAGGAACTTATCCTAAACATATCGGCGACATTTTGAGCATCTATTTATTTGCATTTCTCACGTGTACAATTTCTGGAACCAGTGTCACGAAAAAAATTGTATCAAGAGTCCAGAAGTACAGTCATGCTAAAAGCAAAAATTGTGTCACATAGTGAAAGATCTGATGGAACTTCATCATGATATTTGAAAAAACTACTGGATGGCTCATTCCTATCCACTTCGAGCTAACAAGAATACCAATCTCTGAAGGTCCATGAACAAATATCTATAGAAGATTGTTCAGCTGATTCAAATATGTGTTTTCCGCTAAACTGAAAATAGTGCGACCGTTTACTAATTGGCATGCAATATTGCTACAAGACGCTTAATTAGTAAATAGTTCAAAGGATCAATTAACACACCTTCTTGATCAGTTTCACCTTCCGAATAGTCATCCATAACATCATGTCCCGCAATGCTTTCACCAGGAAATGTCCCAGCCACACTTCCTACAAAAATCCACAAAATTCATAAGCCCTAAATGGAAGCACCTACAATTCCCTTACCAGTAAAACCACACAAAGCAAGCTTTGCATGCGGAAAAAAAAGACATATAGTCGCATACCATTTTGAGAGGCGAAAATACTCATGGGGAAAATAGTAGTCATGAAACCTCGCATTAACAATCCAATCCTATCATTTCTATTAGTGAAATGCCAAGATGTGAATAGGAAAAAACGTACCACTTCTTTCGCTTCCAGGGAAAAGTTGTTCATGAACACTACTACTGCAGTCTTCCTCGAAATCGTCATTGTCTGTTACATTTTCATCATTGCAGCCATCACCTTTACAAGATTGTGTTTTTTCACTTGCATCATCTACTTCTGTATCTGCAGTTTATGAACAATCGAATAACAAAATTTTATTTGCAACCACTTTACTTTTTTGATTTTTTCTGGTCAATAACTACTGATATTAAGATTTTTTGTCTAACAGTGTAGCATTCGTTACCAGCAGTTGCGCTGGTTAGATGAAACAGCTCGAAAAATAATACTGCGTGTTTGAATATAGAACTATACAGTCATTTCCGTTTCTGATTCGTGTTACCATTATGAGAGGCACAGTGAACTAAATATTATAACACGATAAAGTTTTTCAATATATAAAAAGAATTGAGAAAAGAAATGCAACCCGTGCCAGCAGTGCTTGCATCATCGAGTATATCGTCACTCTCGGAAAATTTCTTGCTTGTTGAAAAATCTCCCATTGGAGATGCTGAGTCATCCGATTTTGAAGTTCCTGCATTGTTTGACACCTCTGATAACATACTAAATGATACGAACGGATCAAAACGAGGAGTAAGCTGCATCAGTAATGAGTTGCTTGTATTCGAACAAATATTCAATTCCAACGAAGAATCCTAAAGAATTTTTTAAAGGTGCAAAAAATTTATAGGAAACTTTCAGTAGTTATTTCCTTACGACGTGATTTGACAGTAATTTTGGGAGAAAAATATTGCACACCAGATATACCGTATTTGTTATTCATTCCATCAGCCTCTTGTTTTTATTCTCATCCGTGATTTCTTACAGTATTAAAGAGCATTTATATGCTCAAATCAGTGACGAAGATATGATCTTGCTCTGCTAAAAAGAAAACATTTTACAAATATAACTCATGCATAGGGATGCAACCTTCTTCCTTGGAACATGTATAGGCATAAGAGGCAACAAATCACATGGCTGTGGATATGCTCGCTCAAGGAATCGATCCGCAACAGTCTTTAAATTCGGATGATACAGACCATGGTTAATAATGGATTTGTCTATCTGAAACTGTTGACAATAAAGAACTACAAAGTAACTGATAAATAAAGGAAATAAGTTACTTGAACAAACTGGCTTACGGTAAAGCGAAAATAATTCCGAAACTTCACCTTGATCACTTCACTAAGAGTATCATCTACAGTGCACGAGTGTGATAAAGGTGGTGCACTGCCGGACAACAACTTTGGAGCTAAAGGATTTGGTGGGACAATATGATGGAACCGTGCCGGAGCTGATGACGAAAACGGTTGTTCTACATTTGGCGATGGCATGAAACCTTAAAATAATCACCTCCTAACCAATTATTACATAGTTATGAGTGAAATAATTTTATGATTTTCACTCATCGTTACATGTTATTAAAAGCCTAAATATTATTATATGCCTTTAAACACAATCACAATCATACTAGGAAATTGAATCCAAGATTAATTGGGCTAATCTCATACATAAATAAATTTTATTTGAAAAACCTGAATGGTACCGTGAGTATTGTGAAGATTCAAAAGAGTGTTGGCAACATCAGCTTCGTCGAATCGACGGCCCTGTACTTCTACCGGACTCAACTCCGAGAATTCTCCGTGTGACCAATCGATCGAACTACTACCTGTATTGAGATACTATTTTCTCAGGAAAGACGACTGCATTAAAAGTTATTTTACTTTAAAAGAATATCATTTTTCAAAGATTTAATAAAATATTCAAATCGTTACCTGGTGAAAGTGTAGTTGCAAGATTAAATTCTGATCGAATAGATTTACCCTTTAATGAAAGATGCCTGGAACAGTAGCCACGTCGCTGCGATTCCTAAATACAAATGAAAGTTTAATGAATGAAAATCCAGTTTCCGAGAATTTCTAAACTTTGAATACATGAAGGTAAATTCAGATGAAGGAAGCAATATAAAAAACCAAGAATAATATCAACCTGGAAATATTGAGAATACCTTGTTACATCCTTCTTTGCTGCACAGCCGTCTCCATTGTTTCCCGTTGAATTTTTTGCGAATTCCACCTGGTGTTGTTACGATTTCACCTTTTTTATATCTCTGCTGTTGCTAAAATCTCTTTGCAATTACCATAAGCATGATGATTCAACTTATGTAAAAATTCATATCTGTGAATGATTGTAAACGAATTTGACATTCGTCTGATTCAAGTTGCTACATCTCAAAATGTGAAAATGCGCTCATCTTTATGAAATCTGCCTTGCATGTCTTATCTATGTGTGTAGGTCAATGCGACAAGGTATCTAGAGGTCTTAAGCAAATCGTCGAGGAATAACTGCTGATATACAGACTTACTAGTCTGTATAGAGTACCTTGTTAGCGAATTCCGGACGTTGAGTGCCAATGAACAAGTATTTAACCGCTTGCATTCAAAAATCAATTTATATATGCCACACACAGATGGCCTCGTCCCTCGCTCGTTGTTTGCTGTTCGAGTCGTTGTTTGAACATCGTTTGCAGAGACGAGCAACGCTTCCTTGATACCTTTTGAAGCAACATCCAAACGACGAGTCGACTTCGATGGGTGAGAGAACGTCCAGAATCTCATGCTAGACTAAGACGCCATTAAGAACAGCACAACCTCTAAGTATGTGTAACTACAGTTGTGAATCGTTGTCTTAGGGTAAAGCCGTCGGTTGAAGTTATTACAATATCTTCCACCACCCTCGACTAGTAAAAAGCAAGTTGAAAAGTGAAGCTTATTCTAATTCTCAGAAATGGTAAAATGATCGTTCTGAGAACAGGATAAAGAAACAAACTGCGGAAAGGAATGCGTTTATCGTCAAGTTGTGGAAAGTAAAGTGACTATCTATTATACGTCATAATGTAAGCGGTACATCGGCTGGGTAACACCAGCACTTTCGAAATCGGTCATGTTGAGAAATACCACCCAACTTCATGAACTTTACACTAAGGAATATATTTAAGAGCTCAATTCAACTGTTAGTGTCAAGTTTACCATTATCACCATGACAGAAGGAAGATTCGAATGCGATCACTGGGCAAGAGGAAAGACCGAAAGATAACAGTAAAAGGTTTGAACAATGAAGAGCAGAATAACAAGATAATCAAATGTCATTGATGACGCGGACCAATACGTTTTCGCAGGAGTTACACGGTTGAAGAAAGGCGCAAAATAAGGATGGAGTCGGGTTGTACAGTACAAAAGTTACGAGCGGGAATTGATTTTTATTCAATGTGAGACGCATTTTAAAACGATATCTCCGAAAGCAACTATCGCGGTATGCGTTGGGAGTAAGCATTATTCTTGCGGCGAAGAGCAAAGTATTACAAGGAAGTAGTCGACAAATAAAATCCAAAAAAAAAAATGCAATGGTAGAGTAATCTTAGCGGCTAACGATTAACATGAATAAAAGAATCACACATTTGCCGGGAAAACTTCCCGGGCGCAAAAAGCTAGATTTTTGCCGCCACAGTGATTGAAATTGAAAATCATCTTAGCAATAAAAGCAACTACTTGGGAAAAGCAGAGGGATCAAAACAGGAATATCGAATATTTCCTCCTCTCTGAATTGATTGGAAGATAGCTGAGGAAGACTTTAAGAAAGGAAACAGCTGAAGGCGGTTTAGAGAAAGCTAAGCTTAAAGAGATATAGGAAAACCTGTTATTGTTCCATTTGATAATGACAGGAAGCGTAAAGGAAGAAAGTTCCGTATGTCCAGTGACGTGCGCCCTCTAAGCTTTAAGTCTTTAACCAACATTTCTTCCCTGCATTGATCAGTTGTATAAGAAATGTTGTCGGTTAGATAGGTGAAAATTCTCAGCACAGGTAACACTAATATCGAGCGCACTCATCAGGTTTAAATGATGTTTAACTAAAACCATTCTCAGTCGCTGAAAGGAGTGTGTGTGTGTGTGTGTGTGTGTGTGTGTGTGTGTGTGTGTGTGTGTGTGTGTGTGTGTGTGTGTGTGTGTGTGTGTGTGTG